TAACAAAAAGGATAGATTTTTTAATAAAATATAATTTATTTCCGACGTTTTCCCGATTTTAAACACAAAACACAAACAATTTAAATTATAAGTCTTTTCTTTCATATGCTTTTCCCCAAATTTCGTTGCGACACCTCTCTATAGACGCTTTAACTTCAGCTTGTTGAATCGAAATAAATCTATTTTTTTTTCAATAAGATCGCCAAAACCAGACTAAATACGTATGTCACTTTCTACACGCCTTTTTCAAAAACCAAAAATAGTTTTTATTGGGTTGAGTTCAGAGCTGTAGGCTGCGTTATAAACAACTAAATGTTGAGTGTTAGTTACTGGTTCCCTCAAATGGTTGTGTATAGTTCAATTGTCACACCAAAACACTGCTGAAATGTTGTTGTCGTCACAATGTTTCATCAATTCCATAAAATATATATCAAGTCTTCCTCTTTTTCTCTAAGTAGCTTAAAAAATAAAAGGTGTTTTAGATTCAACCTGGCGCTGTTGTTCATTCAGTTGGATAATTGGTGGATTTTCAATAAATTCATTCCTTGTTATCGGGTCTCTGGAGTCGATAGAAGTCAAAGATTGTGACATTTATATCAATTAATAAGATCAAGATTTAAAATTGAGTTAAAATGCTCTTTCTTATTATGATTTAATTATTCATTATCACATTTATTTTTTTAATTTGATTATGGTATTTTAATTGTTTGTGTTTTGTGTTTAAAATCGGGAAAACGTCGGAAATAAATTATATTTTATTAAAAAATCTATCCTTTTTGTTAAAAATGTTATCCTTTTTCAAAAAAATGGCTGTCACATTTTCTTGAAATCCATCCTTTTAACAAAAATCCCATCCTTTTTATAATAAATTCCTGTCCTTTTTCATGAAAATCGTCATTTCTTTCGAAAATCGTCCTTTTTATCAAAAATCCTGTCCTTTTCAATAAAAATACCTGTCCTTTTTAAAACAAATCTCCATCACTTTTTATGATTTTCATCCTTTTTATTAAAAATCTTATCCTTTTAAAATAAAATCTGTCATTTTTAAACTATTTTCCCATCATTTTGAAACGTATTTTCACTGTATTTCATTTTTGATAAACTTAGATTTTTTTCTTTGACAATTTATTATAAATTATTTATCGTTTTTGTTATTTTTAAATAAAAATTGGAAAACTCTGTATAGTCAAGTATCTCACTCCCTCTACAGTACTTAACACGTTAGAGTTTATTGTAAGTTTTTTTAGAAACTTTTTACATTAAAACACACTATTTTGCCGAACCATTAAAACAAAAATGTTTTTTTAAATAACATTTTTATTAAATTACAGTCATGCGAAAAAGCTGTCGCGTTTGGAAAAACCTGTCTTGAAAAAATATTTTATAGTAAATTTATAATTACTTACTATACAGTATAGCTTCTATTCGATTTATTTGCAGGGTCATTTCACAAAAATCGAATAAAAATATTCGGCATTTCCAAATAACATTTTCTATTTCAGATCATTTGTTTATAGTACTAGAATAGTTCATTACCACCCGAGACAGGTTTTTCGCATGACTGTATATCCAAAATTCAAAACGATAATATCTGTTTGAGTCTTTGACGAAGAAAATGACTCCAATAATTATCAAAAACTAAAAGTTAAAACGATTTCAGTTTGTGTATTTGAGTCGACAAAACGCTTATTACAAATATTCATTAGCATTTTTTTTTCATTATGAAACACTTTATGGAGATAGTTTGAAATAACATTAATTTGAATATTCCTTTTTACTTTGAAATTGGATACAACCCCCAATGTTTTATGTATTTGGGTTTTTATTTTTTAGCCAACATTTTTGAACATTGAAATTAAAAAACAAAATGTAAAACAGTCTTTCATTTGGAGACAATGAGTTTTCGTCTATTTTTTGAGTTTTAGTTTTTCATTCAAAAATCATCTTTTTCCAATACATCTCAAAATCAAACGTTGTTGAGACGATAGAGTTTCCACACTTCTACCGTTTGAATTCACAAAGTGATGTTGACACAAAAACAACAAAGACAACTTGCGACATTTTTGGTGAAAAAGCAACACCATTCAATATACCAGATGTTCCAAAACCACTTTCTACAGAAAAAAGTTCATGTGATGATATTGAACATTTCTCGCATTTCTCGATACCAAACAAAGACCCTTCAATTCTCATTGTCGGTGGATTTTTTACAAACGCTTTACTTGTTTCCCATTTTGAAGAATATCACAATACACTAAAAACTACATCACTACTACATTTTCCAAAAGACCACTCCTTTCATTTGCATTTCCCCTCGTGTATTGTTTCATCCACATTCGTTGGTCCTTCAAATAGAAAGGACAGTCTTAAACAACTCAACCATTTACAGATTTTGCTCTTCTATAATAAAGGGAATAATAAAAACAAAACTGCAATTCACTTTGGAGTATCACCATCGACAGTTTCAAATATTTTGAAAAGAGCTGAATGTGGGAAACCTCTGGAAGGAGAAAGGAGAGGAAGAATGATGGGTTACAACACAAAGTTTGACTACCACACAATAACAGAAATTATAAATGAGATTGACAAAAACAACCAAATAACACTGAAAATGTTGATGGACGAAGTCAACTTAAAGAGGAAAAGGTGGATGGATGGTGTGGAACAAGTTGAAAGAGAGATGGGTGTCGAAGAGGAAAAAATAATTAAAATGAGAGAAAAACAAAATGTAAGTGTTTCGGGAATACACAACGTGTTATTAAAACTGGGATGGACACTTAAAAACACGAAACAAGAACCGATTAATCGAAACACACCAATGAGGTGTGAGCAGAGACGCGTTTATGCGGCTCACATTGATTTTATTTTGACATACAAATTCATTTTTGTATATCTTGACGAAGTTGGGTTTAATTTAAACCAACGCAGATCCCAGGGATACTCTTTAAGGGGTACATGTTGTTCCGTAAAAAACAGGTGCATAAGAGAACCCAACATAACTGCATTTGTTATGATGGTTCCAGGAAAAAAAACTCGTGTTTAAAATATCGACTAAAAGTTCAAATAGCCTTTTCCTTGAGGATGTTGAGGATGTTTTCATCCCACAACTCAAAGATTGGTTCAACAACTGCTTTATTCACTTCGTATTAGATAATGCAGCTATACACAAAAAAGACATGATTTCCCTTTCCTCAAAAAACGGGATCTTTGTTTCCTTTTTAGTTCCTTATTCCCCACAATTAAATGCTATTGAAAAGTGTTTTTCAATTGCGAAATCGTACTTAAATAAAGTACTTACAGATGACAAGTATTTTCATGAAGCGATTAGAGTATCAAGATGTTATCAATTTTGTCATTTAAACTTGAAGGCAGCAAACAAAATTGAGCTTCCGGTTTTTTCCTGTCTAATAAGTGCGTCTCTTTTACATGTAACTGAAGAACAAACGGGAAATCTTCACCTGAAAACTGAAGAATGGATTAAAAGATCAAAGGAAAAAGCCCTATTTATTAATGACGATTCGTGTAATGAAAAAATTGTCAATGTTGATGTTCCCAAAGCCGAGGGGGAATTTTCAATAACTTTTACAGAACGAAATGTATTAGAAACAACTGTCAAATACTTAACAAGAAACAAATGTCTTCACATATTAGGTGGAAAGAGGTTTGGATTATTTTCAACAGAGAAAGAGACCTCTCCCATTTATTACAAAGAATGTGGAACACTGCTGAATTCACTTCCGACAACAACCAGGGATGATGATCTTCCGAAAAAGAGAAAGGCATCTTTCAATGAAAAACTAGTCTCCACCTTTCAGAAACAAGCCAAATTTCAAATTGTTTCTGGATTATTCGCACAACAAACCCATCGGGAATATCTTCAACAAACGACACCGCCATTTTTAAATCATCTCAAACAAACTAAAAAAAACTGTTATTTCAGACCCAGCAGATCATTACCTTTCAATCAGTGATTCCTCAATTGAAATATCCAACACTGTTTTCCCGAGATACATCACTGAAATAGAACACCTTTTTGATTCGGAAGATACGCAACGAGTTGTCAGAAACATTTTATCTTTCCCATACATGCCGGACATTTTTGAAAAAAGACGAATGCTTGAAAACGAACAGATTGATACCGAAATACTCGATTTTTTCAATTCATGGACAATGCTAAAAAATGACTACATTTGGAAAAACAATGTATTGGTTACAAATTGGGATATGTTCGACAATGAAAAAACATTCACTGAACAACTTGACAAGTATTTAGATACCATCACTGAATTTGATATTTTTCTGCTTCCAGTCCTTCACCGTCATCATTTCATGATTTGTGGTGTTTTCGTTGGCGACGACAGTGTTCCCTTTGTGGTTAAATTGGACAGTTTGGCTCCAAATACTTTTTTGGATAGTGTTGCTCTATTGCTCAAAAAGAAATTTGAAAATCGGGGATTTAAATTTGAATCTATTTGGCTTTTTTCCCCAACAATTCCACAACAACTTGATTGCGTTTCATGCGGATGTTATGCATCTTACTTCATTGACAGGATTGTGGAATGTTGTCCTCGAACGGTTTCGGAAATAACGAGGGTTTTAGACGAAGCAGAAGCAAGATCATTTAGAGAAACAATGAAGAAAATCACAAAACCAAGATTTGCCAATGAAATATTGGATTTGTTATGCTTTTGAAAAGCCATCTGGTACTCATTCTTAAAAAAGTGTTATTAAAACTATTATTTGGTTTTCTATTTTCTATTTTCATTAAAAAAAATAATAGTATTGTTTTAACTTCCTGAAACTGCGTTTTTTCTTTTTGTGTTCTAAATATATAAAACATTGGGGGTTGTATCCAATTTCAAAGAAAAAAAGGAATATCTTATTAATTTTTGTTATCATTTGAATATTAATTTTACTAAAATCACAAGGATAAAAAATTACAAAGAAGCCCAAACAGGTTTTCCCTCTTTTTTTATTTTTTTAAAACTCAGAAAAAAATAAAACATCAACTTTTTAAATATTTTTCGAATAAAACAGAAAAACAAAGCTCTAATGCATTAAAAACACATATGAAAAATTTGTAGTTAATATTTTAATAAAAAAAACATAATAATACTATTAAAATAGACAATTCTTTCAAATATAATAATTCAAAATACCTCATTCAACAATCTTAAGATTAATCCTCATTGTAATATCACCCTTATTATTAACTCAAAACTCTTAATATAAATACACCATGTCAACTCAAGAATGTCCTTTTTCACGTTTCTGTGTATCTGAATATTGTACATTAACACACCCATCTCCATTTTTAGATCTTTTACCACCAACTCCAGAAGATCCCAGAATCACTACTTCTCCTTATCGACTTAGAAACTGGTTACGTATTAAAGCTGTTATACCTTTAATTAAAACAGTTTCAGATTTGTCAATTTATTTATCTTCTTTATTGACATCAGCTTCTTTTTTTTCAAAAGGAACGCTTTCAGTGATAACCCTCCACGCCTTTGAAAATTTAACACCAGAAGAAGTGAAATCCTTTGAGGAAGAGATTTTACCGACAATCACTGAACTCGTTTTAGGCTCAGAAAATGTGTTACACCCACCACCCGTGATTATGAACACTAATGCACTCCAACTGTTAACAAGAAGACAATGCGCATCATTTTTGGCTTGTGGTTTTCTTGGATTATTCTCTACAACACTCAGAAAGAACTATAGAAACCACCCCGATGTAACTGGCTTTGTGAGTATGTTTACTTCAAGTGATCAAGTCAGCCTAACTCGATTAAGGTGTTTTATTGGGTACTTTCATGTAATTCACAATAACATGAAGAATCAACATTTCATGAGAGAGCTTGTGACATTCAATCGAGTAGATTCACCCCCATTTGATGTTAAACGACTCTTACAAGCAAAGATTAAATTCAGTGGAATTAGTGTGAATGACGAGATGGGCATCATGGACTTCCCAGAAACTACATTAAAGGCCGATTTTGCGAATAAATATCTTGGTGGCGGTGTCTTGAGAGGAGGGAACGTTCAAGAAGAGATCATGTTTATGGAGTGTCCAGAGATGATTTGTGGTTTATTCATTAATACTGTGATGGATGACTTTACCACAATTCGGATATCTGGTGCTATCAGATACACCCAAATAGTTGGGTATGGTGGGAGAATTGAATTTAAAAAAATCTTTGAAGAGCAAGTGAAGCAAAACATAGTAGCTTTGGATGCACTTGTATTTGGAAGAGACAAAGAGGCTCAATTTAAGAGCGACTCTATTCAACGAGAAATGACTAAAATCTATTCTGCGGTACACAGTGCATATGAAGATAACTTATCTGACTTTGTCACTGGGAAATGGGGATGTGGTGTTTTTGGTGGAGATGTTATTCTCAAGTTCTTGTTACAAAGCGTTGTGTGCTGTTACTGCAAAAGAAAAATGACGTTCACAACTTTCCACGACAAAAAGACTTTTGAGGAGATCAATGAGTTCTTGCACAAACTCGAAAAGGATCCCCCAGAACTTGGAAACTTTGTTGAGTGGATTTTTTGGTATATTAATACTAAACAAGAATGGAGAACTGTACTCAAAGACGAGACATTGCCCTCAGGCTCTAAGCCATTTAAAGCTTCGACAAATGATCAATGCATAATTGCTTGACATTAAAAAATTTTGGTTTCATATAACTTAGTCAATTTAGTGCTCACGTCTAATTTAAAATAAGGAAGATATATGCCTTTTATTAATAAATTAACTCTTCACGCAGTTTTTGGCTGTGGTGATGTTTCTTTTATATCACTTTGTTGTTCTGTTGACACTCGTGGTGTGTTTTGCACACCAAGACTTTTCAAATCGATCTCCGTGCAATCCTTCAATGTTTCTCCGAGGCCGAAATTTGACAATTTGATGGCCATATCTTCTAGGTCTCCACTAACTAATAGCCCCAATACCTCCTTCACTATTTTCTCTGCCTTTTCTAAAGTGATTTCTTCATTAATTGAATTTTGGATAGACGACCAACAGAGTACTTTTAAGACTCGATACCACTCGACTGCAATAGCAAATGCGTGTGTCTTCTCTTCCTCTTCATTTCCGGTGATCATTTGTATAAGTTTGTCCGTCACACTTTTGTTCTTTGAAAGAATCGTTAAGAGGAATTTTTTAGTTTGCCCGATATCAGAGCTTTTTCGACACTCAAAAAGGATTGCGATGTTGACCATCCGATTCATAACGCTCAGAACTGCTTTATCGAGTGGCACATCTTTCAATTCCTTTTCGAGTAAAAAGAGTTCTTTTTGTGCGGCCTCGTCTTTAATCGAGAAGCTTGCCTTTTGCACGGAAATGAAAAATCGTTGTGTCATTTGTGGTATGTTTTCCAACGTCTTCTTCACAAGACTTTCGTCTTGCGACCCCGCGTTCATGACATTCATACACTTGCAACACTGAATTGTTTTTGTTTTGTTGTATAACACTAACTCATCTGCATGGCATTTTGTGCACTTATCGATTTTGACAAGGGCGTTTCGCGTCGCGGAAACCGTCTCAAAGACGCCAAGACACAATTTTGAATGTAATTTGGTGATCGACTCATTCAGTTGCATTCGCGACTCTTCCGTACTCAAATCGCTTTTGTTCAAGACAAAGCAGACCGGGACGTCCATTAATATCGTGTTACATATCTCTTCTTCAAACGGCTGAAGTCTCCCCGACACGGAGTTTAACACAAACCACACAATATGGACCCGCTTTTTCTCCGTCTGGACGTCCAAAAACTTATTTAAAGAATTTGCAAAATTTTGTGTGTCGATCGGAGAGATCCCCTTCGAGTCGTAAATCGTGATTTTCGACGAGGTGTATTTTTTGAAGTTCTCAGTCGTCTCACTTGTCTCTCCCTCAGCAGCTACCGTCTCTTTAAATATCGTGTTAATCAATGATGACTTTCCAACACCACTTTGCCCTATAACAAGTATGACTGGAATTTGGTTTAAACTCACCATTGAGGTGTATAATTTAGTCACTGCATCAATGTGCGCTTCTATGTCTTTAGATAAGGGGTTTGTCATTTCAGCGACGGCATACTCACTCGGGTCTTCAATCTCCTTTTCTGACATATGTTTGGGTTTTTATGTTTAAGGTTTTCATTTTTTTCATTCTGCTTTGCACTTCGGTCGAAGATATAGATTTCATATGGTTGTTTTCTTATTCAATTTAGTTCGTTTGTTTTTAAAAGAGTTTGTGATGTATTTGTTGATTTTGGTAAGAGAAACGCTAAATTGCAGCGTCTATTTTAATCAAGTCAGTGTATTTTAATTCACAATTTATTATTAATTTATAATATAAAAGTTATTTAAGTATAATTTGATTGAGCAATATCATAAATAGAATAGATATTTATAAATCATGTCAAAATAGGCTCTGGTGTATTAATAAGTGTCTTTATCAAGTTACAAATCGATAATTAAAAAAATCAGAAAAACAAAAAAAAGAAAGAAAATTTTTGTGCAGAAAACCGTTTTTTTTAGTTCTTTTTAATAATAATTGTTAATAAATTTATTTGTGTATTTAATTTTGTTTTTTGGTTTAAAGAAAAATTCTATAACTTTACCCAATCAACTTGTATGTTTTATGGTTTTAAAATTTTTTTTACATTAATCTTTTGTTCAATAGTAAACTTTTAATAAAGTTGATTATTTTTAAACCATGTTTAATTAATTATTTTTTTATAATTTATTTACTATACTATAATGATTTTGAATAATTAATTTGAATAATTAAAAATTAACATTTAATTTAAAAACTAAACATATCATATTTAAAAATACACTTCAACTTAATAATAAATAATATAGTTTTGGAATTATGCCGATATAATTGATAAATTAATTTAGTAAATTTTTAATATATATATTAAATATTCATAGTTAGTAATTTAAAAAATTTTTAACCTAATACCAGGGCTGCAAACCTCAATTAAATAATCGTTTTTTGAAAAAGAAATAATGGCATTTTATCTTTTCGTATAAAATAAATAATTTTATTCACAAAAGAACTTTTTTGCTCAATTTAAAAATAAAAATTATAAAAATTAGAAATATGCTGTTTTGGGAATGTTGTTGAATAATATGCTCAAAACTGCACTTTATTCGCTTTTTCAAATAATAAGACCAAAAGTGTTTTGAAAAACAAATAATAACCAGAAAAAACAAATAAGAAAAATTTAAATATTTAAACCAAAAACTAAAGAAAAATAAAACAAATAACTTTTTAAGAACATGTGTCAGTTGAATGGCATAAATAAATAATAGGAAAATGTCATTGGAATGAAGTAAAATAAAAATGTTGTCATTACATTCTGTGTTAGAACATGATATATATAACTTGTTCAAACCTTAAAGTAAAGTGACTTCCCCAAGGTGTGCAAGTTAAAATTTTTAGTCTTTTTTACAGGGAAAGGGCGTGCAAGACTAAATTTTGGTTAAAATAACATTTTTTTAAAAAATGTTTTTTATTAGGTTTTTATTGAAAAAAGATCTTTTAAATATCAATGAAACGAAAATGCTCAATGAAAAGAGAAATTGATTTGCTGAGCTTTCTAAAGTTATACAACGAAGAATTAGACAATAACAAACTATCGATTGATGAGTATGAAGCAAATTCATCTTATTTATCATGTAAAGATATCAACAAAACAATTGAAACAAAAATAAAACGCGTTAAACAATTGACAAACGAAATCGAAGAAATAACACAAACAAGTGCTTTGTTGAAAAGACAAATTGAAGAAGAAAGGATCAGAGTTAGAATTTTGGAAAAGAAAAACAAAACACAAAGTGGAACTCGAACTGGTTTTACTCGTAAAAAAGAAGTGGTTAAAGATCAGGAATTAAGCACGCTGGGTCAAACTGTCATGAAAGCAAACGATGTCAATAATGAAGTGTTCAAGCAAATTCAAGAGTTGAGAGAAATTGTGACAGATGATGAACTTGTAATGAATGTTGTTGATGATAAAGCAGTAACTACAAAAACAGTTGAACTT